AGTGAGTGAGTGATTTTACTTAACTCTTTCATACATTTTTGTCTTGTGTTTTTAAAACTAGATATACAGAGCTTAGAAAAACTATTGAGGGACGCAGTAATACATGGACAGCCTCGAAATCGAAGAGCATGGAAAAAAATTCTTATTCTTGTTGAGGGCATTTACAGGTATGTACAAGGTATAATATCAGTTAACCATGCAAATGAAGGTTTAGCTAAAATGTCTGATATTGAAGATCATCACAACTGTTTTCCAAGGCCTTATTAAACCTATTGATCTGACTTAAAAATCATACAGTTGTACAGAGATAAAACAAATATAGTGGTTGATTTAGTGGCTTGATACAGTGGCTTGAGCATGCCCAGCAGGCGTGAATAGCAAACCACACCCATTGCCATATCACAAACTACTTTTGAAAGTTTACTTAGGACTTGGCTACTTGATTTGGCTGGAGTGGGACAAATAGGGTCAAAAAGCCAATTTTGTTGTTGTTGTTTAGTCATTAAGTCTATATATTTATTTGCTCCATCCTTCTCCTTGTGCAGAAAGATGAAGTTTTAAATTTTCCAATTGCATCATGTTATTGTTTAGTCATTAAGTCGTGTCCGACTCTTCGTGACCCCATGGACTGGAGCATGCCAGGCCCTCCTGTCTTCCACTGCCTCTTGGAGTTTGGTCAGATTCATGTTGGTAACTTCAATGACACTGTCCAACCATCTTGTCCTCTGTCATCCCCGTCTCCTCTTGCCTTCACATTTTCCCAACATCAGTGTCTTTTCCAGGGAGTCTTCTCTTCTCTTGAGATATTACTTCATACTGAGTGGTTAAACTTCTGCATAAACCACAAATGATATGGGGACATTGAAAACCAGCCATCAGATTGAAGCAGGAAGTTTCAATTTTCCAGCTTGCTTTGATTCATTTCCAGTGGTTGCACATGCTACAAATGAACAAAAACAGAGCAATCCTACCTGGATTGAAGCTCCTGCCAAGGGCTAGAAAGGTGTGGATAGGAATGCTCTGGGGCTGGGCTAGTTTGCTCCAGCAAAGACACCACATGATCACCGGCTTTAGGAACTAACCAGCCTGTCTCTGCAGTGTGGTGTAGCAAACAAGAGTGTCTGACTAGGACTCAGAAGGCGTGGGTTCAAAACCATGCTACGCCATGGAAACTCACTGGGGGAGTGAAACTGGTAAAACAATTCCTTAAATATATTACCTTAGGGTCGTCATAAGTCTGTTCCAACTTGTAACAACAACAATACATTTAAAGTGAAAGAATTTTTTTTTCAAACAGCAAAGGTCAAAGTTTTCCATTCATTGGCCCAAAGATCTCTTTGTCAAATACTTTTTTAATGTAAGGGTGCACAAATTTACCGTTGTTTAGGACAGTCATGTACTAAATATTTTTGCTTCCTAATAGACTGACATGGAGCCATTTTGTCACACACGCCTCTCTGTGGTCCATGCCTCAGGCATGCATTCTGTCTTGCCAAAATGTTGCATATATCAGCACCTTCATCTTGTTTTGATCTTGCATATTACCCTCTTCCTACCAAATCATCATAATAAACTAGGAACGCCTCAGCTGAAACGGGCCACACCATGCCAACAGCCAGAGCAGAGCTAGAATACTGCAAAGAATATAATGTATGTTTTATTGGGACATCCCTCACAAGTTTTTCATGCCTCTGGTTTG